TCAATCAGTTTTGGAAAGTGAGTGTCGACTCTCCTCTTTTAAGGAAAGAAGGAAGGGAGAGCCGGGAGGGAGGGAGGAAGGAAGGAAGCAAGGAAGCAAGGAAGCAAGCAAGGAAGGAAGGAAGGAAGCAAGCAAGGAAGGAAGGAATTAGAAATCTAAATTAAGAATACTCCTCTATATTGCACACATAATAGTGGCCAGCCTTGCATGGGACCTCTTGCTCTCGGTTCGTCCACCAAAGAATATTGGCCATACTATGGGAATCAACATCATATCAACATAGCGGCAGAACCCAAACAAATCTTCCTCCCCTCCCGATAAATCCCTCACTGTATCCGGTAACTGAATACCGACGGAAAAAGACACTTGTCGTTCTACGTCATATATTTAATATAATTAATTTCTATTAACTATAAAGCAAATTACGTTTATCTTACCTCATTTACAACTGTTATATCTTACCGAATTCCCTACCAAAAAAATTAAACTTAAATTTAAAGTAAAATTCTCTGAAAGACTCCTACTGGAAACGCTATCGTATAGAATGAAGTCATTAAACCCGTGCAATAGATATTAGAGTACCTAATACACATTAGTAGACCCCAATACCATTGTTTTCTTTTGTGTCTATATTTGACTTTTACACGTTGACTAGTATTTTTGATTTCTAATATGCCTCCACTCTACCTTAGTAAAGTATAAAGGCTGTCTACAATATACTACTGGATAATGGTAATGTCTATTACTACTGTAACCTTTTACATCGGCCAGTAATGATTATTATTATTAGCACCACTGTGCCATACCTTAGTAAAGTATAAAGGCTGTCTACAATATACTAGTGGATATTCAAAATGATAACCTGTTGATGATGGTGATGATGATGATGTTGATTATGGTGATGATAAAGATGTTGATGATGGTAATGATAATGATGATGTTGATGATAAAGGGTGGTGATGATGATTGTGAAGATGATGATGATGGTATTGATGATGGTGATGATGAATTATGAATCCCTGTACAATCTTGAAATAACTACAATTGTTCTATACTGTAATTTTCTATAAAAAGCATAACAAAACTAAATGTAAACCACAGAATAATTAGCAAACAATAATTAACTAATTAATTCACTTTCATTGGTAGTGAAAACCAGTCTTAACTTATGATTATTGATATCATGTGCAATCTGTCCTCTATGTTGTATCAGTACCAACCAACTTGTGGCAGTGTACTACCATATCATCTGGTGATATCCATAACAGCAATTTCCTGTGTGATGATTTATTATCACTGCTGTTTGTTCCACACAACCTAAAATAATTTACAAGAACTACTTAGTAAAGACTAAAGTTGGAGAGTACAATTGTCTGCTTGCTTGTTATCGTTTTTTGTTTTGTTTCGTTTGAGATTCACTTTATATTTTAAAATTTTCTTCATTTTACTTTTTCGTTTCTTTTTGATTTCTTCTCTCTGTTTTTATTTGTTGTTTTGTTTTGTTTTGTTCCGTTTTGTCCATTTGTTTTTTGCTTCCTACGTTTTATTTCATTTTTTCGTATTTTATTTTTTTCTTTTGTTCAGTCGTTTTCTTTGGCTTGTTCCATTTGCTTCATTTCGTTATTTTTGGTTAGCAATATTTTCTTACTGTGATTGTTGTTTTTCTAATCCATTTTGGCCTTCTCCCTCACAAAAGACTAACAGTAAAATTCTCTAAGACTGGAAAAGCTATCGTACAGAGTGAAGTCGCTAAACCCGCAAAATAGATATTAGACTAATACACATTCGTAGACACTAATTCCATGGTTTTTTGTTTTGTATCTATTTGACTATTACACGATGGCTAGCGTTTTTCGGGTTAAATTAAATGCCTTCACGTGCACTCTATAACTGCGTGATCGAAAAACATTGTCATGTACGGACGATAATAATCATGCAATCGGCTTCGATACCAGTTGTTTTCTCATTTCAATTCATGTACCAGTTACGTTTTTGAAAGAAGATGTATTAACAATTTCAAATAAACTGCATAAAACAATCAATCAAAACCAATCAGTCTATAGGTTTGAAAATGATACATGTAACTTGACAACTTGAAAGTCAGTTTTTAAGCATATTTACTTTACCTTGTTACTTCTTGTTCATGGCGTATTTGATATCATCTCTTGTCTGGTCCCAGCCATGAGTGGTTACAGCCTTGTAGACTTCCATCACAAGAGCAGGAAAATATTCCAGAAACACGAAGTCGTCAAATAGCAACTGTTCAATTGTTACTGGTGGCACAAACTTAAACGTTTTCTCTCGGTAGTGTTCGTATACATTTCGTATGAAACGAACTAACTCCACAGCAGACGAGGTGTCGTAATTCTTTCTTCCTTTTCCTGCTTTCATGCTAGTGTAAATATTGGGCATGTGCAGATACCCTGAATCCTTCCACCTTCCATGCCTGCCAATGGTACTGAATATCAGATCTAGATCTGTCTCGACTTGGGTCAAAGGTAACGTCCTCTCTGAACGTGGGCACTCGAATTCTGTCTGATTACCAACAGCTGCTAGGAAATCCACCTTCTTTTCATTTGACCAGAACAAAGGATGTTCTAGAGCTTCTTCTGCACGTGGCCGATTCCGTTCTTTGCTTTCAAGCATCCTCTTTAACAGGTGAGTGGCTTCAGGGGAAATAGCGTTATCCCATCCTTTCATTCTGTTATTTATTATGTTGGTTTCTGTTTCAATAGCAACTTCAGGTGAACTAAATGGGTGCTTTTTCACAGACAGGATATAGTGAAGGATCAGTCCACATGAAAACATATCCGATGATTCAGAATGTTCATAAGTATCCACGGAAG